ATCTTTATAACTTTTGATCTGTTGAGTATTTGGAGTTGCTTCTTTAAAATATTTTGCTCCTTAGATCATTATCTATCTAGTTATGCAAGATTCAAAGATTTCTAGGTTTATGTTCTTCATGATGAACTCTAGATCTGAGTAGTTTTATGGGTTTAGAGGATGGGTTAGGTGATGAGGAATCTTAGTTTCTAGGGATGCTTAAGTATAGATTTAGGTAGATACCTTATGGATTCGGAGATTTAATTGCTAATCTTAGCATTAACCATGTGGGATTAGATCTTAGACATTCCAGCACTCAAAAAGTGTTCAAATGGAATGTCTGATCAACTACTGCCAGAGATCTATTTACTTACCCAAGAGATTGGCTGTTAAGGAGTAGCTTGACATTAATGAGCTTGTTCTTTATGCATATGTTTCATCAATGAAAGTTGAGATTAGGAAGTGGTATAGATCTGATAGTCTTTGCCAAGAGATTGGACTGATTAGGGTAAGTGGTTCATTGTCTAGGATTAGATCTATATGAGCATGTTAAAAATCCCAAAGAGATTAAGAGGATTCATCACCCCATTAGCCCATCCTTAAGATCTTTGTTTATCTGATTGTTTACCTGCTTTCATTTCTGCATTTAATATTGCTTATGTAGTTCTTGCATTCTTAGTTTCATTTCAGTACTGTTCTTAGATCCTTTAGTTTATCATTCTGTAGTTTACTTTTATGCATTAGAGTTCTTTAAACAAAACTTTCAACTGCTTGGCTTGACTTGATTAGTTCTGCCATATCTTGATTGTTTACAATACATCCATTTGGATCGATAACCTCTTATGCTACATCGCGTTGGGGAATTGAACTCCAAGAGCACTTCAAAACCCTTGTTTCAGCTGCATTCGATCTACGGCAACGGTTGCAGATGCGATCCGTTCATACCATCGTCGTCTCCACCATATACCTCTCCTCGTTAAGATAGAAGACAGACACTACAAGAAAACATATCAATTTCCGACCACCATTTCCGACCAAAATAATAGTCGGAAATTTTCCGACGAATTTCTAACCATTTTTCCACTAATTTCCCAGGATTTAAATTCGTCAAAAATTAGTCAGAAATTAGCAAAATTTTCCAACCAAACAAAAGTGGTCAAAAATTTGTCAAATTATTTGGTCGGAAATTTTCTGGTCGTCGTAACTTCATCGAAACATATATTATTCTTATTTTTGTATATTTTATTTTCATAATAAAATAAGTGGTCAGAAATTGGTCGAAAATTCCATAGAATTTCCAACTAATTTTAATTATATATTTTATAAAAATAAAAAAAATACCGTCGGAAATTTGTAGGAAATATCTATGGTCGTTGGAAATTCGTCGGAAATTATACGATAGTCGGAACTTTGTCGGAAATTTAATACGGTAGTCTGAAATTCGTCGGAAATATATACACCAAAGAGTATTCACCAATTTCACAATTCAAAATACAAGAAACTTATTTTCTCATATCTTCTTCTTCTCTCTATTTTGAGAATCATTATCCATTTTTAAGAGTTTACATTTTCCCTTTTATTTTTAATTCATAATTTTTCATATTTGTATATAGTAATTCATTTTTAACTTTTTATAAAACGTATGTTTTTCACACAATAATAAATTATTATTTTAAGTATTAGTTTTAACTTTAATTTTCATTTCATTTTAATTTTGATTTTAATTTCATTTTCATACTATTGATATATTTTTTAATTTATTTTTTTAATAATAAAAAATAGTATTCGGTAATAGTTTTAAAATTAATTTAGTTTAATTATAAAAATAGTTGGAAATTTGTCAGAAATTTCCGACGAATTTCCGACCACTGAGAATTTTCGTCGGATATAGGTAGGAAATTTTCCTACAACATTCCGAAAAATACTTCTGACAAATTTTCGACGATATTTTTTTGTCAGTAATTTCTGACGAATATTAATTTCCGACCAAAGAATTTTGACAAATTTGATTCTGTCAAAAATTTGTCGGAATATGTCATTTCCGACAAAATTCCAACCATATCGTCGTCGGAAATTGGCATGTTTTCTTGTAGTGCGAACTAGACCAATATCGTAACAGAGCTTTGATCACTGAGCATGATATCGCCTTGTGGCGTCATAAAGGAGACAAATACCAATCCAGGTTCTCAGCAAAATAAACTTGGGCCGAAATCCGGACTGTGGGGCAGACAGAACCGTGGTCCAAAGGGGTATGGTTCTTCTCTTTTACGCCCAAATACAAATTCTTCACTTGGCGTGCCAATTTGACTCGGCTTACTACAGGAGACAAAATCCAAGCTTGCAATGGTGGAATCTCTTCAGACTTTGTTTTATGCTCTCATAATTGGGAAAATCAAGATCATTTGTTTTTCTCATGTACGTACTCACGGAGTATATGGGAAGACTTGGCTCGGAGATTAATGCAAGCCAACTTTGCTCTTGGCTTTGAGAACATACTCACTCTTCTCTCTGGGCGAACCTTCACCACTACCACTCCCTTCTTGTTAAGATATGTTTTCCAAGCTACAGGTCACACAGTTTGGTCGGAACGAAATTACAGACGACATGGCGAAACTCTAAAGCCTGCAGTTCACCTTATCAAATTCATCGACAGAGTTGTCCGTAATCGCCTCATGTCCCTCAAGCGTGTTCACCCCTCAAAGATGGATAGATGGAATGCGTATCTGGTTGGAGATAAGGAGCTAAGATGACAAGTTTTTATTCAAAAAAATCTCTAATATTGTTTCTTCTCAAAGGTTAAAAGGTTAAGTACTCTAAAACAAAGGATGCATATATTTGTAAAAAGGTTTTTTTTGGTTTGAATAAATTTAACATTCATTAAAAAAAAAAGAAATATAAGTTAGATTCGATTCTTTTTTTATTATATGAAGCGGTATGTTTTAAAAAAAATTTAGATTATATGTATTCTCTCTTTATATGATTTTTAATTTCTCTTCTCTATTTTCTATTAAATACTTATCATAAATTTTTATATTGACATAATTATAAGGTTGGTCCTACCTAGTATTATTATGGTTATGTTATTGGTTATAACTTATGTCATTTGTTAGAAAAAGATAAATAACTATATATATATATATATATATATATAGATTAATACATCTACTTAAACAAAAATAGAAGAAGGTCAAGTATACACATATATTTATTTATTTTCTATTTTCAATCCAATAAAACATCAAACTTGATTTTTCATTTCATACTAGTTAAAAATAATATTAATGTTCTTTTAGTTTCTTTGCTACTATTTTTTCCTTAATGTTTTTCTCATAATTCGAGTTTTACATCACATAAAGTTAAATTTTGAATCACTAAAATAGTTAGCTTCAAAAATAATGAATATTTATTTTGATATTAATGCTTCTTTTTATTTATTAAAATAGTTTTAAATTAATTTTGCGTTGAGTCGTTGACTATCTTATTTTCTTACTGAGCTTTGAAAAAAATAACATAAACATTAATGAGATATTGAGTCATAAATATGTTTATTATAAAATAATATTTATATAGTCAATAGTTTTTAAACACAGTTTCTTTTATTTTATTTTAAATTGGAGTTAGTGTAGAATAATATTTAAGAAATATGTAATCTATAACAAAACAGAACTAAAATTTTAAGGAACTCTAGAACAATGCAGAATTCTATAATCTACACTTTTTTTTTGCTGTCATGTCTTCAAAAGCAAATATATTGGTCGGGATATTGCCAATAGTGTCTCTCGCAATGGTCGATTGCAATTTTATTTTGCTCTATATGGCTTAGCTTGGCTTCACACGAAGATTGCTGCAGATGCAATAGGGTGGGATTTTTGGCACGATTTCCTTGGCAATACTATATAGAATATATATATATATATATATATATATGTTGGATATAATTAAGCACCGGGTTAAAGCTAATTAAAATTTCAAAATTCATGATAAAGTAATAGAAAGAGAAGCATATATGTGATATATATATATATATATATACAATATAATGTTAGTTAATATTAGTTTATTTTAATTTATTTGGCAAAAAAAAATCGAAAATGAAAATATGAAACAAATTTTGATATCAATAATATATTTTTTTAGTTTATAAAGTGGCAATATAGTTGGAGTGTGCCTATTTTGTATTATATTATATACATGATATATTGATGTACATAACTAATAAACTAGCTCTAGCAAAGTTTCCAGCTTTACAAAAACCATCAATCAGAGTATGAAAACAATTTATTACTCGGGAAGAAAAACTGAAATATGATATAGGAAAAATGTATCCGAGTCCAATATTTTGTTTAGAAATAATTTAAAGACTTTCTTCACATTTTTACCCCAAAATATATATATATATATATATATATATATATATGAATGTGACTATATTAAGTCAGTTATGTGTTGGTGACATAGGATTGTGATAATTTGGGACATATTTATATTAGACAATAGATCTATCGCTTTGTTCCCCATTCCATATGCATGAGTTTGGTTTTTGAAGGCTGATACCATGCCACATATTATATGATTAAATGAATTACTCTGGATTATGAAGCACAACGTTAAAAATGGGGAGATTGAAGATGAAACATTTGAACAAGTGAATGTACTACTTGAGAAGGACAAGAGCACTAGTTCAAAAATAGAATATCAAGATAAGAAAATTAACTATGTTAGTTGGTGACACAAAAAATATTTAGAGTAGGAGGTTTCGCGAAGGCTTAGAGGGCACATAGTGCTTCTAGAAGATCGAGGTCCTAATTCAATACAACAAATGATATATCCCCAAAAATCTGATGGAGGTCCTAATCCAATACAACAAAAAACAACAAAAGAACACTTTCTCATAGGCAAAACTGAACATGCCACTAATTCATATGTTGTTGTGTTTTGGAACCATAGAGTTCATACAATTGGTAAAAACAAATACGCATATAATTAAAACCACTAAGGACTATGTTCACAAACTCTCTCTGAACATGGGAAGTGCCATCCTATTATTGTGCTTCTGAAATAACATATTAAACTAAACGGACAGATGAACAAGTTATTTAAGGTCCAAATACTTTTATTTTTTTTTGTTTGCTTGAATGTTGAGGTCGCTTCTCATCATCTTCCACCGTCAACCTTATCAAAACCTTACCGGTATTGAGGAGCAAGTTCACCGTCCTTGACGATGTAATTCTAAGCAGGGAAGTCCTCTCCTTTGAAGTACCTCTCCAACATGTCTTTCGTCCCCGCCGCATATCGTAGCTATAAATAAAAAACTTGTTTACTTTCAAAATGACCAAGTGATGTGCATACTAAAGAAAGCTACTAATAAACAATTGGAGAACACAACATATTTTGATACGTTTATATCTTAATGTTAAAAAGGAAAAAATAACTTTACCTGAGCGTCAATAGTGGTGCCGGAGATGTGGGAGGTCATGGCTTGGTTAGGCATGTAACACCATGGGTGGTCCTTAGGAGCTAGTTGTGGGTCCCACACGTCTCCGCTGTACCCTCCAATGTGCCCACTCTCCATAGCATCCACCACCGCTTGGCTCTCCATGATGGCTCCACTTGCGTTGTTCACTATCAAAACGCCTTTCTTCATTTTCCTTATCAGCTCTCTGTTGAATAATCCTCTGTATGATAAACAAAAACTCATTTTTCAAATCTCAGACAACAAGTCTTGTTAGTGTTCATCTCTATTGTCTGTGAAATTAGCGACGTACCTTGTCTTCTCTGTGAGAGGCATGTTGATGACTAAACTGTCGCATTGAGGGAGCATTTCATGCATATTCTCAATGTACTTAACTCCAATCTCTTTCTCCATCTCTGCTGCCATTTGAAGCCGGTCATGGTATAATAAGTTACACCCGAATGGTTTCAACCGTTGTAGCAAAAGCTTTCCGATTCTTCCAGCTCCTAGAGTTCCTATGGTCTTCCCTTCCAGATCATAAGCTCTGTACGAAATGCTGGCGACGTCCCACTTGCCATTGACGACCTGGTTGTACCCTGGTACAAAGTTTCTCATGAGGATAAGGATTCTCATGAGCTCATCTTCTGCTACTGAGACCACGTTGCTTCCCGTGACTTCAGCCACAGTCAAGCCTGCAGCTGCAGCTGCCTGGAGATCAATGTGATCCGACCCAATACCAGCCGTGAGAAGAAGCTTCAGATTCTTGGCTTTCTTGATTCTTTCAGCATTCACATAAGCCGGGTGAAAAGGAGTGGATATTAGGACATGAAGATCCGGGATATGTTTCTCAAGTTCTGTCATTTATAAGTAAAAGACTGGCAACAAAAAGAACCATATATTTGCGTTTATAGTTTAGCATTTATAGTTTATGCAAATATGCAATATATAAAAGCAGAACCAAGATTTTCGAAGGAGTGAATACTTACCGCAGTTAGGGCCTTCTTTGTCATCAGTGACAATGTACTGATGTCCTTGTGATTCAAGCCAGTCGCGGATTCCTAATGCATTCTCGACGCAGCCAAGGAAGTTAGGGTTCTTGGTAGCGTATTCGTTGGCTTTGTTAGAAACTCCAACAATTTTTTTGCTATCACCAGAAGATGCCTGTTTCATAAAGCCAGTTCAGGAAGCTATTTAAAAATTTTAGATCATCAAAAAGTGCATTACAATTTAAGAAGAGACGAAAAGAGCCCAACGTTTATAGGCCCGTTAAGAAGCTCAATAAGAGAGCGAGCTCAAACATCATGCCATTTAATAATTCTAGAAAGAGACACATGTCTTTGGCTTCCATAATGGAAAATTTAGCTGGCCTAATCAGAAACGACAGTAGTGCTTTCTTATTTTAAGTCACGTTTCAGTCATGCACATATATGATCATATCACATCAAAACTGAGTTATACAAAACCAACATTGTATCCACTCAAATTTACGGCCAAAGATCTAAAAACATCATTCATCACGCACAAAATCAGAAGAACCATATAACCCACCGCAAAAGAAACGAAAAAAGCATTCACCTGTTTTTATTTCTTGGTCAAAACCTGCTTCTCAATCAAATTTATGTATAAATATTTTTTTCCTTTTAAATTGATTCCTCTCCATGATGTTTTCACTCTAGGGAATCAAATTTTCGTACAAAGCATTAAAAAAAAAAATCTCACCCAATCTTATTTTCCAAAATAACATTATTTCAGATTTTGTTTCCTAAATATTTTACATTCCATTCCAACTAAAACAAATTACAGGAAAATCAATATGGAAACAGAAACTATGATATATTTAACCACACCTTCTATTCTGTTTTGAACATATTCTATCTCTAAATGATTTGCAAACAAAGAATACAACAATTTGATTCCCATTTTGTTTTCCAATACCTGTGAGCTTTGATTCTAAACGTAAGAAGAACTTTGATTCACATTTATTTAAATATTATAATTGATATATATTACGAATATGTAAAATAAAAGTTTTTAAAAATGCTATATAATATGGTTATATAGTAGATGAGTTATAAAGAGGACATGTTGGAATTAATAAAATATCATTAAAGTTGTGCTACCATAGGTTAAATCCTCATTTTATTATTTTTAAAATCATAGCGTAAAATTGACTTACTATGTATTTAGATCCATTATTTTTTGTTATAATACTTAAAATTGAAATAGAATCTCAAACACTAAACAAAACAAACTAAATATAACAAACAAATGGTCATGTAATATACAACGGGTTAAAAAATTAATTTAAACATTTAGCCGTACAAACTGCCGGAAAATTTAGTTATTCCTCTATTTATAAAACATCCAATATTTAACAAACAAATACAACATAAAATATAAATGATAATAAAATTATATACACACGGTGTACCGCGGGTTAAAATCTAATGTAGAGCAAAAATGGAGCTATTATTATAATATCATAGTTTAATATGGGAAAATGTCAAAAAAATCATCAACTTTTAAATTTGGGACTAAAAAATATCAAATTTCAAAATATCATTTAAATCATGAAGTTTGTTTGACTTTTTGATAAGGTAGTCAAGTTTTGTTGATCTTACCGTTGGGCATAACATTAATTTTCCGCTAAAACTAATATTTCCGCATAACATTAACCAAAAGACTTTAAAACATCTTCTTTTTACTAAAACTTTGATGCCATATTGAATGATTAGCATCCCACCCTCTTCTCCCATGTGGAGCAGAAATGGAGCTATTATATCATTGTTTTAATATGTATTGATATATAGTTGTCAAGAAAATAAATTATTGATATCGACATCAAATATGGACCCACGTAAGATTGTCGTAGTGTCCTAGTTAGACCATTGTCGGTGTTACCTGCATATGTTGCTGAGGCCAGTTCATTACTTAGGGTTTTTAGTTTGAAAATCGTCAAAAAATCTCGTTTACAAAAAAAATCATTGTCCTTTAGGAAATATCCCTAAAAATCTGATGGAGGTCTTAATCCAGTACAACAAAAAAAAAACCACAAGAACACTTTCTCCTTAGGCAAAACTGAACATACCATTTATTCATATGTTTTTGTGTTTTGGAACCACAAAGTTCATAGAATTGGTAAAAACAAATACGCATATAATTAAAACTAATAAGGACTATGTTCAGAAACTCTCTTTGAACATGGGAAGTGCCCTCCTATTATTGTGCTTCGGAAATAACATATCAAATTAAACGGAAAGATAACCAAGTTATTTTAAGTCCAAATACTTCGTTTTTTTTTGTTTGCTTGAACGTTGAGGTCGCTTCTCATCATCTTCCACCGTCAACCTCATCAAAACCTAACCGGTACTGGGGAGAAAGTTCACAATCCTTGACGATCTAATTCTGAGCAGGGAAGTCCTCTCCCTTAAAATACCTCTCCAACATGTCTTTCGTCCCCGCCGCATATCGTAGCTATAAATTAAAAACTGGTTTAAATAAGTTCCAGATGACCAAGTAATGTGCATATTAAAGAAAGCTACTACTAAACTAGTGATGTGCATATTAAAAAAAGCTACTACTAAAAAGTAACTACAGAGAATGAATGGCTGACTGTAGCTTTGTGACTTCCCATTTAGCTCGATACTAGGTTTGAACTGCGGTACACCGCGGGTCTGTATTTTCATAATTATTTCCGGGAAATACTACTTTTTCTTATATGTTTTTTATCGGATATATAGTTATTAATTAAGTAATCGATGCGATGTACATATATTTTGTAGGGTATTTTGTGTTGGAAAAGGGCTTTTCCATACCTAGACAGTTGCACTATGTTGAATTCATACATTTGACTATTCAATGTGCCTAAAAATATATTAAATTTTAAATAATTTGAATTTCAAACCTAAACTTTAATTTTTGTGCCTTACCATACCAAAACGTTTTTATTGCTTAACTCCGTTAACCTTCCGTTTTATTCATTGCTGTTATAAATTATATTTGTTTTTAAGATAATTGTCTTTTCTCTTTTATATTTATATAGTTTACAACTTAAAATGTGTTAGTTTTTTGTTAAATTTTATTGGATACTATATTATTGTAGATTTGTTTTGTTTGATAGAGTAGTATAAAGATATGTGGTAGGTCAAAATATTTTTGTTTGTTGGACATATATACAAATCAATTATTCTATTAAAATTTATAAAATAAAATTATTAGTTTAGAAGTAAGAACATGAACTATGATTAAAATTTATAATATATGATAACTGAATAGTTTTAGTGTTGATTTAATTATTCAAACCTGCCATGCTAAACCCGTCTCACAACAGGTATACAAATTTTTTACCCATACCATTTATGAAATAGAATGTACCATAAGTGGAGATATATTTCCTGAAAATAAATGTTACCTATGTTTTATGGATCCTTTTCTAAAGATAAAAGAAATGAAAATCAAATTAGGTAAAAAGGGTAGATTTATCGAATTATAATCCAGTTAAAGAAGATAATCACTGCAATGTTGATTAGATGGTTACACATGAATCCAATCAAGAACTCTTCGATTTAAGTTTTGTTTGCTTGATCATTATTTAATATACTAGGTTGTGAACCCACGCTATGCGTGAGTTTATTTGATATATTTTGGGAAAAATTATATTTGATTGATGATAGTTATAAAATTTTATACAAAAAGTTAAATTACTTTTAAGGCATAAAAATTCACTTCAAATACACACTTTTAAAAATTATAAAAATCAGTTTTGTTAAGGAATTAAATAAGATCAAAAGAATCACGGATCAATCTTGCTTTCTCATATTTATTTTTCCTCACATTCATCGTTTTCGTATTTTTCATATATATCAGGGCGAAAATAGCTTATGTCCACACAAATCACATGGACTATGTATCTATCAAGTCGTTGGTGAGCAAGAGAGGATGTTTGGGAGGGAACTACAATTGATCACCAATATTGAGGGTTGGGTACATTTCCTTGTACTTCTGGGTTTTCTTTCTTAGGCGTTTGTGGAGCTACTAATGGTTTACTTAAACATAAGTAAATCTTGTTGTTTCCTTTTATATAAGGTTTAAAGTTGTCACTAGTGTTTTCCTTCACCACCTCACATGCATAATGGTGATCTTGGTTGTCTTTGATCTTTGCAACATCTTTCATTGTCTCACTAGTTTGAGACCTAGAAGGAACGACAAACATGGGCACCATATAGGTTACTCGTAGCTTCATGACTTTATATGACTGTTCAACAACACATTTTCTTCACAATAATACTTAATAAGTTGATAAAGGTCAGTATGGACTTGTGTATGAATTTACATCTAGGGTGGAAGAGGGCCTAGTTTCAACATCAATGGCCCGAAGCAGGTCTTCTTTATGCTTTCTCTCATTTATATCTTTATTTTATGCCACTAAACTCTTACTTGGGCCATAACAACCATCTATACTTGATGCAATTTTGACTTAAATGATACACGGCATTCTCTTCGTTTCATCATTTTTTTCTTCAATTACGATGCCTTTTTATTACACACGTTCCATATAGAGAAAAAAATTTGGATTAGCTGGAATAAGCTTCAAGTAAAGCCAAACAAATAAATGGTGTTTAAGGAAACATAGTGCAAAATCCAAAAAAAAAAATATGAAGTTATAGTCCTCCAAGAAAACATACATTTTATGATTAAATTTTTGGAATCATGCTGCTTGACATAGAAACTATGACGATCTAGTGATTTGTGCTGATTTTTAGCATATACTCCAGCCCATACTTTCCCGAAATCAGAGCGTCACCTAGCCTATTTTTCTTGTTTCTGCTTTCATTGAGACTTTTTATTCAGTTCCAAAAATTTTAGAGAAGTAATCAACTCTAATTGTGGCTGACGGCTCGGAATTTACAACATAAGAAATTTGATCAAATGTAATGCCTTTTGTTATTATTTATACTGAAAATATGTAGGCTTAATCAAATATATATATTTGTTAATATTCTTTTTCTGATTAAGAAAATAAGAATAAGAAATGTAAGTTTTATATATTTTTATATTTTTTTTCAAAAGTTTACAATTCTCTTTTTCTTTATATTTTGTTTTTTTTTTATTAATATTTTGTATAAAAAAATAAATAGAGTTTAAAAATGTTAATTAATAAGATGGAAAAA